AATTTGTTCATCATTTATTAAATATTCTTTATTTGTTATTGGTATTGCAATATGAACACAAGCATGAAATAAATTTCTATATCCATCTATACGTTCATCTAAGATTAATTTAAATAAATCATAATTTTTATTTATTTCAATATCATTTAATATTGAACGTATTTTATCAATATCATAACGAAGTATATGTGGTATTAAAATACCTTTTTCTATTTGCATTATATTTAATATAATATGATTTTTATTAGTATGATCAATATTTTTTAATGGTATTATACCTTGTGAAAAATAATTCATTGATAATAAATTTTTCCATTGAGGATCTTTTATATTTGTATTATCTTGATTATAAATCAATGAATATATTAAATGATTACTATCAATTAATATACGTGGAATATGATTAGAATTTAATAATGTATATAAACGTATGAAATTTTTATTTTCACCAATAAATGATAATAATGATTGACGATTATTAATTAATGGTAAATTATTTTGTCGTATACAACGACATAAACCATTATTACTTCCAACTTCATACATTATATAGTAAATAGTTGTATCACGTAATTGTAATGTATGAAGATCTAAACGATCGAAAAAAGAAATAATTCATTTGTAAACGAATAAAAAATTATATTTATTTACAATCTTTATCAATTGAAAATGTTAATAATGTTCCATGTTCTAATGATATACGTTTTGCATTCGAAAATGATAATGTACAATCTGGAGTTTTCGGAATTTGATTACCTTTAACGACCTATATATATATAAAAAAAAAAACAATGAACTTATTTTTCTTCAAAAGAGTTTCCTTGGAAGAATAATGTACCGGACTCAGTAGACTCTCCTTCCACCTATTATTTTGTAATATCTCATTTTATAAAGAGTTTCGTGCTCTAGAATAATGTTGAATTGAATTTGTTCCATGACAGAAACTAAAAACTGCGTTAAGGGGACCCACCTTTCCGGCGTTTCTAAGAAACGGCCGAACGAAAATTTCTGAAACTTGCAGGGGGTAGATAGACCTCGAGTAGTAGAGCAAAAGTTGTCGTAGACACAAATTTGCCAGACGTCATCTTC